TATGAATGTTAATTCCGTTTATTCGGTGTACATTCCTTTCTGTAGTCTTTACTTTTCAATGCACTATGTTATCCCAGAAAATTCCTGACATATCCAAATTATCCATCGACAAAATAAAATTTGCATTATGAAACAAAAAATGACGATATTAGCAGAATAATAGCAGCCATTACCTCTAGTGTAATCATGTCTTCTTCTTGTCTGTTAGCGACTGAATTTGTGGAAGTTTTCTCTGATGATTCACATAGAGCTACAAGAGAAAACTCTTCAAAACTATCCACATTGATGATTTGAGACTCATCATCCCTAAGGACTTCATGTGGAAGAACTAATGCTTCAGTGACGATAGGAGCGGGTTGGGATGCATCTTTAGATTGAGGAGAACTTGGCTTTTCCTTGGTTGATTTCTTACTCTTTGAGAACAAGAGACTGGCTACTTTTTCTTTAAACGTTGATCTCCTCTTTGACTTTGTCTGTGCCCTGGAGGCTTGTGATTTGCCAGTTTTTGGAGCAGCAACTTGAACTGTGAGATCAGTTCCATTGACAGTAGAGGATGCAGACACAGAATTTGACCTGGGAAGATTTTTAGGATAGCCCTGATTGCTTATTTCTGCATTGAAAGAACGACTGCAAGAAACAGATTTTCCGGGTTCTTGGTCCTCTTGAATACTCTCAACCACAGATGTTGCAGATTTCTTCATGTGGGTAAGAGAAAGCATCTCACCCAAGGTAGAGTTTCTTCTCACTGTCGTTTGTTCTTGAGGACCCTTATTATCTGATGTCATCATAGTCCATCTTTCAGAAAGCCTTTTCTTCGCCTCTCTGCACACTGATGACTCAGGGGAGCAAGGCACGCGACCCAAGGACATTGTAGAATAAGGACTGCTACAGCCATTGATGTAATTGTAATCCCATGAAAGCCTTGGCAGCGATGACATTGACATAGCTTCCAAATCACTGAAATTTGCTGATGCATACTCGTGATATGATTTGTTGAACGAACTCTCATCATCAGAATAGCCATTGGAAATAACTGAAGAATAATGTGGAGTTTTATCCTTTTGATAGCTCCACAGATCCTTATGCATTTGCTGTGTGATCTCTTTTGCCACTCTAATGGATTCTATTGCATCGTCATATTCAGGTCCCTGATGGCAATTACCACTTCTCAGATTTGGTGGTGATGTTGTTGTTGGAGAAATCGTATCCTTTTGCTCAGGTGTCCTCCCAGGGCTAGGTTTCAGCAACACAATTCGAGTGGTTCGAACTGGAGATTCATCAACTTTCTGACTATCTGGAGAGTTTCCAGAATTCTTGTTCTCCCACCCAGCTGCTTGATCAACATTTGGTGATTTCTTAATTAGTCTATTGTTCCTTTTCTCCTTNTTATCCCAGAAAATTCCTGACATATCCAAATTATCCATCGACAAAATAAAATTTGCATTATGAAACAAAAAATGACGATATTAGCAGAATAATAGCAGCCATTACCTCTAGTGTAATCATGTCTTCTTCTTGTCTGTTAGCGACTGAATTTGTGGAAGTTTTCTCTGATGATTCACATAGAGCTACAAGAGAAAACTCTTCAAAACTATCCACATTGATGATTTGAGACTCATCATCCCTAAGGACTTCATGTGGAAGAACTAATGCTTCAGTGACGATAGGAGCGGGTTGGGATGCATCTTTAGATTGAGGAGAACTTGGCTTTTCCTTGGTTGATTTCTTACTCTTTGAGAACAAGAGACTGGCTACTTTTTCTTTAAACGTTGATCTCCTCTTTGACTTTGTCTGTGCCCTGGAGGCTTGTGATTTGCCAGTTTTTGGAGCAGCAACTTGAACTGTGAGATCAGTTCCATTGACAGTAGAGGATGCAGACACAGAATTTGACCTGGGAAGATTTTTAGGATAGCCCTGATTGCTTATTTCTGCATTGAAAGAACGACTGCAAGAAACAGATTTTCCGGGTTCTTGGTCCTCTTGAATACTCTCAACCACAGATGTTGCAGATTTCTTCATGTGGGTAAGAGAAAGCATCTCACCCAAGGTAGAGTTTCTTCTCACTGTCGTTTGTTCTTGAGGACCCTTATTATCTGATGTCATCATAGTCCATCTTTCAGAAAGCCTTTTCTTCGCCTCTCTGCACACTGATGACTCAGGGGAGCAAGGCACGCGACCCAAGGACATTGTAGAATAAGGACTGCTACAGCCATTGATGTAATTGTAATCCCATGAAAGCCTTGGCAGCGATGACATTGACATAGCTTCCAAATCACTGAAATTTGCTGATGCATACTCGTGATATGATTTGTTGAACGAACTCTCATCATCAGAATAGCCATTGGAAATAACTGAAGAATAATGTGGAGTTTTATCCTTTTGATAGCTCCACAGATCCTTATGCATTTGCTGTGTGATCTCTTTTGCCACTCTAATGGATTCTATTGCATCGTCATATTCAGGTCCCTGATGGCAATTACCACTTCTCAGATTTGGTGGTGATGTTGTTGTTGGAGAAATTGTATCCTTTTGCTCAGGTGTCCTCCCAGGGCTAGGTTTCAGCAACACAATTCGAGTGGTTCGAACTGGAGATTCATCAACTTTCTGACTATCTGGAGAGTTTCCAGAATTCTTGTTCTCCCACCCAGCTGCTTGATCAACATTTGGTGATTTCTTAATTAGTCTATTGTTCCTTTTCTCCTTTCTGGCTGGTTTGTCATTGTTGTCCATCTTCGAAGGTTTAATAAGAGTAATGCGCTTTGTATTAGTACGTCGACTTGAGTAAAATTCATAAACATTTTGAGAATCCAATAACCTCATTAAGAGATCACTGTTGGAGCTTAGAACTTCCAAGGCATCTTTAAATTGTTTAGATTGACGCATTCTCTCATCGGTTGACAGATGTTTTGCTTCTATGAATTTCTGACGAATGAGAGCCATTCTTTTCCCATCAACATCTTCACTCCATCTTCCTCTATCAGGTACCTTGCCACTTGCATGCCTTGCTCTCTGAGATTGCTGCCATATTTCATACATTTCTTTGTAAGCAACCTGTTCTGTGCTTGGGTGAACTTCATGAAGTATTTCCCTCTCCATAAACCTATCTTCTTGCTGCCAATGCCTGAATGGGAAGCCTACAGGACGATGCATTTGTTGAGGATAAGCACTTCTGTAGCTTCTTTCCATAGATAAATTAGGCTCTCCCCTTGGAAGGGTTTCAAGCCCCATTAGTTTTGCTACAACATTTGGTAGGTAGTGCTTGGAGTCTTTCTGTTTGGACATTTCTTTGTCTATGAGCATCTGCATTTTAATGGGTGCTCCATTTACTTTTGTGACTTATCCTCTATCCCATCACGACCATCTGATTGACTTGTTGAAAGAGACGAAGCTGCAAGACAAATAGCCAGAATGCATGGGAATAATATAATAGCAGAGAACACTTCAATTACAGAAATCTTAAGTTCAACCTTTCCACACAACTTGGAAAGAAACAAAAACTATTGACAATTTACAGAAATTTCCCTATAGATCACCAGGAAAGGGAGATATAAGTGTATATCAAAGAAGAAAAAATGATGGGCAAGGTGCGGAGATGTAGGTTTGATGTTCCTACCTCTTACTCTGTCTGTCCTTTGCTTTGTTCTATCCTATATCCTCCATTCACTCCCTTTGCAAAACGCTCTCATCAAACTACTATTGATTGCAAATAATTTATTTACTTGTTTGCAATGAAATTAAATGACAAGATCAAATGAGCAAGTTTGGGACAAAATTAACCACTCTAACAAAACAGGCAAGTAGTTACATCTATATGGGCAAATAACTAAGAAATCCCAACGTAATAAAAATCGTTGATATTTCCAAATCTTGACCTGTTAAAGTTTGTAAGGAAAGATAACATAAATATTAAATGTGTCATCAATTGAGGTATAGAATAAAAATCACTTGAAAAAAATATTTAATTTATGAATCAACTTTACAAGGTCAGGTACTTGACCCAATAGCAGGGAAACCACTGAGATGTTATCTTCATATTTTTGAAAATGAGTGATTATCAAATAGATGTATCAGACGCAAAGAAGATCATCTTAAAGGGTATTGCTTTAAAGGATTAAAATAACAGGGCAGGCAAACAAACAATAGAACGGGAGAAAAAGCCATATCTGTTGAGGCCACAAAATTTTCCACATTCTGTTAGTTTGACTTCATTAAAATGATTTATTTGATCTCACCTTTAATGCGACAGAGGCTACACAAAACTCAGGAATTTATAGGGGAGTGAAAACAAAACATTTGTATCATAGGGTGACTTTAATCTTGGGTAAAAAAAAAAAGAATACTGAACCGGTCAGATATCGTTTTCTATTTATGAGTGACGTACAAGTTGCACATGCGACTGAAAATGACCCTTTTATTAGAAAAACAAACAAAACAAAACATAATATAAATCTCACTTATGATGTGGACTTTATGGAAAATTAGAAAAGCAAACGAGAACTGTATTTACTACCTTTTTCATGTGCCCATACTCTCACACGGTGCCGTGGGGCGTGTGGTTCGGAGACTTTGATGTAGGCCTTCATCAATACCATACATAGAGAAGAAGAACGTAACCAAATTGAAATCTGGAGTGGCATGAAGACCACTCCAAAGAATACAAGAGAAAGAAGCTAGAGATAATTTTGCATTCAAGTTTGTGGTTTGCTTAACGTGAGGATTGTAAAAATGGTTACGAGAGTAACTCGTAATCTTTTTGACAAAGGCAAGTAAGTCGGTTATAAATGTTAGCTGCAAAAATTTGTTACACTCTTTTAATAATTTTAACATTCGTGAAATTCAATTCTTGATGTTTAGCATTACAGACATGATAAATGCCAAAAAATCGTACAGCTTTTCCTGGTGAACCACGGGAAAGTTCTTTGGATACGTCACAATTTTACAGTCACTTTAGATATTTGTACAATTAAAAGTATAGACAAGGTTCGTTTAATGCTCCGAATTATCAAAGATCCAGCAAAGTAACAACACTAATTTCCACCAAAAGGTGAAGTTTGATAGACGTGTCTTTTTGTAAACACATGGCGTAACAGTCCGAAATTAACCAGAAACATGTGCAGGGTAACGTTTGATCATACATTCTGGGGTGTTAGACTCTAACGGAGCAGCTTCTGCGTTTGCTCTTGCTCATTGGCATAGTCACTATCATCCAAAGGAAATGGGCATGGACATATGGAGAAAAGAAGAGTTATATATTTCAATCAAGCTTTTCCTAAAATGATAAAGCACTTCCTCGTGATTTTCACCATCCATTTCTGGCTCGTCATTATCATTAATTTGAAAAAGAGAAGGCACACTTTCCCTTTGTGACAATTGTAAAGTTCTTGAACTTGAACTTTGGCAATTTAAATGGGAACTAGTTAGAGATAAGCTCCTCTGTCATTCATCTAGTGAAGATGGAAGCCAGGTTTCCAGATTAGGATGATGATGGTAGGCACTAGAAACTGTCCTTCCGACCCAATGTTTGTATGGTGAAAAGAACATGTCTTGATCACATGACGTGTCATTCTTCCAATTTTCCTGAACATTAAAGTAGTGCTTACTGTGTGACAGAGACAATGCTGTATGGTTAAAATTTGTGTCCATGTCTTCATAGACATATCTTCCAAACTTGACTTCTTGATATCTTAAGAAACCAGAATCCAATATTGAACTGAAGTTCTGTGATTTGTCCAGTAGCGAGAATGAGGGACTAAAGTGGTACCTATCTAATGTATTATTTAATGTCTGCTCTTCAGGGTGGCCTAAAATTGATAATTCAGGGGGCATATTTGGCTTTGTATGCATGTAAGTGATAGGAAAATTTGTCGCATTTGCAGTGTAGTCAAAATCTTTTTCCATAAGAGGAATCGATTCTTTCTCTGGTATCCCCAGCTCTTTGAAATGATTGGATGTAAAGATTTCACGATCTTGGTTATTACTCAGAAACCCTCGGGTTACATCACTCTTGTCAATGAAACTTGGAGTTCCACCAAAATTGCTTCTAGCTTCTGTCATACTGAGCAGAGGTTGAAAGTTGAGTGGATAAGGTTGAAAGTCGGCATGAGGCTTAATCATCTCAAATGATCGCAGAAAAACAGGAGACAGAAAATGATCATTGAAGGATGAACTTGATTCAAGTTCAAGAGGCTTCCTCTTAGGTATTTGATGGTGTTCTGCAAATTGAACATCTAACTCCCGAGAATCATGCAAACCATGTCTGGTAGCATTTGCTGCTTCGTTAAGCAAAGGTTCAGGAATTACATCGCCCTTGGTTGCGACACCGAAACTTTGATTTGCACTTTGTTTGCAGTCAGGTTCCGTTATTCGAGGCGGAAAATTGTTTGAATCATAGGTTGGAAACTTCGAGTGCAGATTAAATCTCCCATCTAGTCTGAGATAGGAAGGAGACAACACATGATCTCTCAAGTATGGGCTTGATTCAAGTCCAAGAAGTTTCGTTTTAGGTATCCGATATTGGTCCTTAAATTGATCATCTGACTTTCGAGAATCAGGTAAATCATATCTTGTACCATTCGCTTCTTTTCCTGGATGTGTATCCTCATATTTCTGGCACAGAAAATCATTCTTGATAAGGGAATGCAGGTCACTGGATGGATTTTTAGAATGAGAAATGGCTAAAATTCCATACATTTTCTTCAGTGCTCGTAGGGAACAGCCGACTAAGGAGCATGGAAATAATATCATGCCTGAAAAATTCCAATTATATTCATGATAAAGGGAAAGGACAGTTAATATCAATATCGAATCTGTGCCTAACCCTTTTGAACAGAGCTTCTCTAGGTCTGTAAACAAGGCATCTGCAGCACTCAGTCGTAATTTTTGTCTCTTTCTAGCAAAAACTTCTCCATGCTCATGCTGATCTGAAGTATTAACACAGTAATTGTTTTACAAAAGCTGTGTCAGTACATTCTGAAATATGAGAAGTAAATTGCGCGTCTTCAGTTAAACTACATACATTTTTTTACAGTAATAAATTTGACCATCCGAAGGGTAATTTACAAATCAGTGGCACCGAATAAATGTTCAGACTGTCCTATGCATTATTTTACCTCGCAAATACCTTGCAACCAAGCAATCCAAATGAAGAAAATCAAACCTTCATGTGAAAATATTCGCTGGGATTTGAATTTGTCACTATAATCCTGGGAGCCCTTTGGCGTGTTGCTGATGCAGTACAATCCTGCGTTACCATCGGTTAAAAGATCTTGGGATACAGATTGTTGTTTAGTAGGGAATTAAAAAATGAAATTATTGCGGGAGAAAAAGGCATTTCCCAACATTTTGGAGTACATAATCGCCAATTAGAGAAAATATAAATGCCACATGATACTAACTTAAAAAGCAAATAAGAGTGCAGAGGAGTAGATATTGATACAATGAGAAGAAATAAGCAAAGTTTTCCAGAACGAGGAACATTTCTTTACAAATGGCAAGTATCTCCTTTCCTAATTATCCTGATTGTGAACACCATGATCCTACATATCAGTATCTCTGCGGCTAGAATGACGTGGAATTTTCCTCTAATACGCACCTGATTTATTCCAAGCTTTTACAGAAGGTGAGAAACATGAGTCTGTCCTTACAGTTGATACGTGCTCAATGATCCTTGAAGAATTCTCGCAATTACTTCCAATCTCACCCATCTTCTCTGCATATACATAAAATATTTATATACACTTTTAATCTCTATAGAATATTGAAGTTTTGGTTATAGTGCCTCTAAAATTTGAGTTTTACTTGATGTGCCTTGTCACTGTGTAGTGAAGTTTTACTGTTTAACAGATCAATAACAATGACAGGGATCGAAAGCACTACAGGAACCTAAGACCTAAATCCCAATTTTAGAGAGACTAAAACTAAAATTTAGTATATCAAATAAGAACCAAAATATACTTTGAATCTTAAATAAAACGCGATGACTATTCTATTGTGACAGAAGATGGCACATGTATAATGTCTCCGTCTTCAAAGTAAGGGGAAATATTCAACTTTCAGAGTGATAAAGAAATTAAATCAATGTCTTATACATAAGAAATTCCCCAACTTAATTATATTAAGATGGCTTTAATACAGGGAACAATTTAACATGGTTAAGAAAAGTTATAGGGGAATAAAAATTATCATGTTTTATAAGTACTTTTTGAGAAAAAAAATCTTAATTATGCTTATTTATAAATAAGCAGGAATAAAACTTTTCCACCTTTACAGACGTGATAAACCTTTCACATTAATTCTACACAAAACCATTAAACATTTTCTTCATAACCGACCGCAAATATCATTTCTGCCAAAGTTATAACAATGACAAAATCCTCTTTAGTAATTTTTCTTCCTGAAAATTCTATGAATAAACAATACCTCCATGGTCTTTTATACGTATTTTACACTGCTACCTAAAGTCATGTAAAATAAATTTATTGAATTTTACAACAAGTTCATCTAAACTCACATTGAAAACGATTTCTGATTACTCCACATATTCTCACAAACATATTAAACTTAACTCATATTCCTAAGAATCTGTCTAAACTAAAATGAACATAAGGCAAATTTATTATCTTTGAAATCCAACCAACCTCTGGAATAGTCTGTGGATTCTAATTTCTTAGATGATTGACGAGATTCCTTTTGCAGTGGACGTAAATGAAATCCATCGCTTGCATCCTTCTTCAATTTCTTAAAGAAAGCAAACTCAGAAGTTTTTGGATCTGTTCCTGCACTTGAAGTCCAAATCCTTGTTAAGCGCAAAAGTAAAACAAATAAAATAAAACGAAGTTATTTAATTCTAACTACTATTATATCAATGTGCAAGCTAAGATGAAATAGTAAACTCCAATATCGCAGACTTTTGTAGAACACAGAACCATGAAAATGTGGAGCAAAACGCATCGTTCGTAGCGAACAAATCGTTAGGTATTGATTGCAATCGTAAAGGTTATTAGAAAATTAATAACGAAAATTCGAAAATGTGAAAAGGAAGAAGAAAGAAACCTTTTGTTTGAGAAATTTTCCTTTTATTCATTGCATTGCTCGCAAACTACACAGAACCAATCGCACGCTCTGCAACACAATCGCTAGTTAAAAGAAGAAACACGGAACGAGAAACTAGAGTTGGCGCCAAACGGCACGTGATTGACAGTTCCGCACGCGTGTAACATTCTTTTCATACGTATTAATATTACGTATTATATTTAAACAAAAGCATTTTCTTGTTTTACCTGGAGAAATAATTTTCCAAATTCAGCACCAGGGAATAAATTGTTGTTTGATTTCACTTTAATTTATTATCAGGACGTATTTATAATAGTATTGAATAATTTCTTTTAATTATAGTCACCTCCCCAGTTATGATTACATACTAATGAAAACATAGGAATTGTGTGCATTTTTTTTATTAAGAGAAAGATTCTATATTTGAGAAGAATAAATCATATTTAGTGTTTATTTTATATACTCTTGAGTGAGTCTGACTATGTTTTGTTTTGGATGAGTTGTAATAACATTATCCAATGGAATGGGATATGGTTGACAAGTGGCATCACCCCAGTGGTGGACACTATTGAAGCACATTTCTGGGGATCAGATAATTCGCCAAACTAAACATTCATCTTCATTCAAAGCCTCTCAGTGCTCTGTTGCTCTTGTCCTTTTGCAACGCTTCAGATCACCAAAACTAGAGAGACAACCTACGTCACACAACACACACAAGAACATGGCATCAGCAGCATCTGGGTTTGTGTTGTCTCTTAATGTTGCAGCTGCCACCACAAACTCATCCCCTTCAAGGGTCATGTTTCCCTCAAAGAACAATGGTTCTAGGCTTGTTGTAAGGGCTTCAGACGAGGCTGCACCCGCACCTGCCACCGCCACTCCCCCACCTGAAGCCGAAGCAAAGCCAAAGCCACCACCTATTGGCCCTAAGAGAGGTGCTAAGGTCAGTTACCCCCATAATTCAACTTTTTTTAGTTATGCAATTGCTCATATTGTGCTAAGTCACTTTCAACCTTTGAACATCACCCTTAATTCTTGATTTTTTTGAATATACCCTACCATCCCTCTAGAATTGGATTGATAACACTAAAAGGCAGATAAAGTTATTGAGTTTGTTCCAGAAAATGTTTCTTATTTTCGCCAATATCTATAAACTTGTCGACATCGTATTTTCATTTTCTTTCTTGCTAGCAAAGATTTATGAATTTGGATTTTTTCAAACTATAAACTGATATGTGTTATCTGGTTCAATTGTAAGCTTATGTATTGCATCCCTGACCCTAAGTGTATCGATGCCCTTGTTACAAATATATATGGTGAGAAGGGGAATTCTGGAGGAACATGGTAGCACCATATTCTTGAGCATAAGAAATGAGATCTTCAGAATTCTATAATTTTCAATAAATTTTCTGTTGGGAGTCTATAGCATTTATCTTGAAGCTATGTAGGAACGAGGACAGTGATGAATCTTGCTAGTTGTATTCATTGGAGACTGTCATTAATTAAATAGTTTTAAATTTGAAATTTGTGTTGACCAAGTTGTGAAGCAAGAGGGTTCATTTATAATTTTTGTTTACAATCAACAGGTGAAGATTCTTAGGAAGGAATCGTATTGGTACAAAGGAACTGGATCAGTTGTTGCTGTTGATCAGGTTAGTGCTCCTAAACTCCCTCTAAGACAGTGATTTCCTCTCAAATTTGTAGCATTTCGTGCATTATGCAAACCCAATTCATATTTGATTGGTTTGTGATTGTTGTGCAGGACCCCAAGACTCGCTACCCTGTTGTGGTTCGATTCAACAAAGTGAACTATGCCAATGTATCAACAAACAACTATGCTTTGGATGAGATCGTGGAAGTTGAATGAGTCCAATTTAGTTGTAGTTTTGATGCCTCTCTTGTTATCGCTGTTACTAGTCTAAGGTTTTATCATGTCACAAAACAAAAGAATCTGTATCATATGCTCTCTGATATCTACCCCTTGATCTCTATTCTCTGTGAACAACATTCTATGTGCAGCTGCTCTTAATCTTCCACTACCCAGATTCTTATTTTATTGAAATCAGCAACTAGTTTTGTTGGAGCCATCGCTTTATAGCCACATTACAACAACTAAAATCGGCTTAAAAATGAAAGTGGATTACTTACTACTATCCATGCACTTGCTCGAGTTTGATCTGACTATAACCAACTTAATTTGATTTTTCTAACTTTTTTGTGTCACGTCTTAATGTAACGTAGAAAACACCAGGTTTTGCAGCTCATGGGGGGTCGAAAGAAAAGATGAGAGAATAGAGTGAATGAAATATTTGGTGAGTGATGCCCCGAAGAAAGAAATATTTATTACCCGGAAGATCAAATAAGTTCACATGTGAACGTATACCATGGCTTTTGATGAAAAAATAAAAGGGAAGAAGAGTGTATAAGGTTGGTTTAATGGTAAAGTTATGAAAAAGGTTGTAGATTCAACTCTCCTATTAACACTTGAGAGATATAAAGTTGATTTGATAAGTTTGAAAAGAAAAGAGCATAGAAGTTGTACGACCAACTTTCTACCAATAAATACTAACAACTACTGTGGATAAAAAAAAGATAACGATCACAACATCTTTTTTACAACATTTTAACATCATCTATGTGTCATTATGTGATTGGTCTAAAATTATTCTACAATCAATGATAATAATAATTATAAACACCAACATGAACCAATCATAGAATGACATTTATATGGTGTTAAAATAAAAAATGTTGTCAAAATATCATTATAAAAAGAAAATAGTTAGTTATGCTAGTTCTTTTTAAGTACAATTAATAAGACTGTGCTGTGTTCTTATGGTTGTTTCAACCTAAATGACCAGTTTATGCCTTTTGGCATAGATATGTTATGAAAAATAAACTCAGAAAACACCTTGTAAAGAGTTTGAGACTTACAGGAATGCAATGTTGTTGTCAAAATATTAAAATATTGATCATGATACATATATGGACTGTAATACGAAATACTACAGCTAACAGCTTCTCATTGTATTCTGTCATCTCAAAATTAACCGCCTCAAAACAAAACTCAGTTATAAAGTCTCAATCATATTTAACGTGTAATAATAAGATCAACTTAAAAGAATACATCAAAAATCAAATCATAAAAGTTGAATAGAATGTCCATATAGGGAAACAAAACCAGGAAAAGGAAATGAAGAAAAAGAGGGTGCACTCTTTTGTTTTGTGGGGAGGGGGAAATGAGAAATGAACCCTCAAAAGTAGAAAAACAAAAACACTAGTCCTTTTAAAGAACTCTACCATCCATGCCATCTAGTAGACCAGTCCACATTCCCTTCACTGATGGTAGTTGTGCAACCAAAGCATTCCAAGGAGGATAACCGACACCACTACCACGAACACGACCATCCATGCGTAGGGATAGATACCTGTACAATGAAACAAAAATACCTAAGTTCTTCTGCAATGTTCACTCCAACACATCCATCAAAAAATAAAGACAGCTTTTACTTAGAGTATCTAAACCATATAAAATGACTGCACAATTTCACTGCAAAACTATAACCTCATGATTCATGAATGTGAAGCTTTTCATTTTAAAGGGAAAGATGTCAATGATCTTTTGCGGGAAATTTAAACATCTCCACACATCTATCTATACCAGTGAGCCGTAACATGGATAGAACTTACACTGGAGAATCAGAAGGTACACCAGCTAACTTCTTTTGCTCATCTAACCACCTATTGACAAATACAGGAACGATTTTTAAAAAAGCAGACAAAATATTGAATAGTATTTTCATTTTTCATTCTTGAAAACTTATTAGGAATGAAAGTTAAGCTTTTTATCATTCTCATAGCCATACTCAGACCACTCATTGATGTAAACTGGAGCCAGTTGCCATAGTCTTTTCCTTCTTGTGGCAAGATCCCCAGTCTCCTCAAACTCAAAAGCAGGTGAATTTCCATCTGTTACTAAGGGCACAACAAGCACCCCTCTGTCCAAAAGGCTTTCAGTGTAAGGTTCACTGCGCTTAAAAGACTCATAGGAATCCCTTAACACATATGACAAGACGAGCAATCCCTCTCAAGGAATTCATAGGAATGATCTTCTTCTCATCCACACGGAGCTTAAGGTTTGATAAGCTTTCTTCTCTTGAGAGGCGAGCCACCTGTGCATTCTTTGCTTTGTTCTCTCTAAGGTACAAGAAAGCAAATAAAGACACTGCTGCAATGTCAATGGCAAGGCCCTTCAGAATTTCAGGGACTTCAGTTGCTCTTGATGAGTTAGCCAGTGCTCCAATTAGTTGTGTGATTGCTATGAATGCCCCCAGAGAACCACTTGCAACAAAAGCAATATAAAAGAACATCCTAACAGACCGAAAAGGTGAGAGAACCTCGCTCCTTATCTTGGCTGTAGAGCTGAAGAACAAATATGATTAATGATTGATTGATGAAGCATCACTGGCTAATACAACCTGATGAAAGAAGCATCGCATAAAGAGGAAAAACCATAAGAAAAGAAGAAAATTGAGTGAACTCTGCATTCATTTGAGTGGTTTGCCAAAACAAAATAACCATGCAAAATTGCTGACAGAAACGGTGATTGATATACATCTTAACGAACTCGAGGTTAGAACACTAATAATATAACTTTGACATTCCAACATGATTTCTTGTTTCTCAACAAGTTTCTAAGCATACTATTATAAACACTTTCATTATGTAATGTTCCTCATAAACACTCCATATAAAAACTTAGAGCTACTCGGGAAGCAACAAGAAGAAATATCTATAAAAGTGTTTATAAGGCAAAGATAATTCCAATGAAAACTATATCTGTTTGATCCTAATGTTTCTTTTTCAAGCTTCAGTATCATTAGGAGGTGTATCAAAAATTCCAAGCATACCATGAATAGGTGAAAACTGTGAACTTATTTGTAACCACTAAATTCTATTCTTGGCATTACTTCCCATAATCAATTGAGCCATACACACACAGAGAGGCACACACACATATACATAAGAAAATGAATTATGTATATAAAATATTTTGTATGATCATGTCATGCATGTATGCACATCCTGATTACATTTAACATACCAGAACAATAAATATATGTAACTAGCCACTGTTTCTCAATAGCA